ACACACACACACAGACACACACACACAGACACACACAGACACACACAGAATCTCTAAACCAAAAAAACTTGTTTTCTGTTTTGAAAGTTTTTGGTATTTCTGAGGAAAATATCAAAGTCTGTGGGTTTTCTTTTTCCTTTTTTATTTTGTGACAAGGTCTCACTGTTGATCCTAGGATGTCCTCAAACTCTTGACAACCCTGCCACCCCAGTCTCCTGAGAACCGAGAGAGTGCTATCCATGCCCAGCTGTTTCCTTTGATCTCTTATGCATTTAGCCAACTTGCTGATTTAAGGGCTTGTTCCTCTAAAGAGGTGACAATTCCCTAAACCAGGAAGGTGTAGCCATATTCATTCCTGATATAGAGGGTATAATTATGCCCATGAACAGAGGCGTGTGACATAGGATCTTCCCGTGTCTGAACAGACTTCTGCCCATCCATGCTTTCCCAGACTGGAAGGCATGACCACTCTGCAGAGGCTTGTGGTGTGATGTCAGAGAGTGGTGACCTTGTACTTCTGCCTGGTGTGCAATGGGCTGTACCCCCAGCTGAGTGCTTTCCAGGGAGGCAACTGGATCCTGCAATGGCAAATGAAAACGAGACGTTTGTGGGTAAATCCTAGCAACAAGCAGGCCTCATTGCATGAAAGGAAGGAAGGAAGGAAGGAAAGAAGGAAGAAAATAAATCAGAAATAAAGCATGCACTAAAGTGTGTTAGTACATCACTGACCCTTTCAGCAGACCATAAGAACCTCCTCTTTATGGGAAATGGACCACACAAATCAGGAGTACCTGAAGCCTTCCTATTTCCAGCAGGGAGACCGAGATCTGAAGAGGAACTTATTTGCTGTCATCACCAAAGTATATGTGCAAAAGATTACACTTGAGTATTCAATTACATGGCCAAAGCCCCACATGGGACAGATGGCTGGTGTATCGCCAGTGATCTAACAGGCATGTTCACGGACAGACCCACGGACATCTAAGACTCCTGATGAGTGCTGAGACTGCAACTTGTCTTCCGTGAGAGCAAAAATGTGCTTCTTGTTACTGAGCTATCTTTCCAGTCCTGGCATTTTTTGTTTGAAACAGGCGGACGTAAAGGTGAGGTCAAAACTCGAGGGCAGCTAAGGTTGGGGCTCACCTGGTAGAGGAGAGCTTTATGTAGCATGCACATGGTCCCGGATTGGATTGACGGCAGGATATAATCCAGAGGTGGTGGCCCACACATTCAGGAGGTGGAGGTGGGTGCATTGGAATGGAATTTCAAAACAACCCCGAGGGGGCTGGAGAGATGGCTCAGAGGTTAAGAGCACTGGCTGCTCTTCCAGAGGTCCTGAGTTCAGTTCCCAGCAACCACATGGTGTAATGAGATCTGGCGCCCTCTTCTGGCCTGCAGACATACATGCAGAACATTGTATTCATAATAAAATCTTTTAAAAAAATAAAATAAATTGCGAGAGATCTCCAGACTATTGCAAATGGGCTGGAGAGGGGGCCCACATGGCAACTAACAACTGTCTGTAATTCAAATTCCAAATTCTAAGGGAATTCAGTGCCCTCTTCTGGACTCTGTCGGGACTACACCTGAGGTGGTGCTCAGACTGACATGTATACAAAACACCCATATACATTAAAAACAAACAAACAATGAAACCAAAGGATTTCGCAAGCAACAACTATTGAAGACATATTCTTAGTAGCCCATGGAGCGCTTTCGAAAACCGATCACATCGTAGACTATAAGTGATGCCTTAAATACAAAAGGATCATAATTATTTCTTCTATGTACTCGTATCACAGTTAAGTAAAACTAAACATCAATAGCAAAAGAAAATCTAGAAACTATGCAAAGAAAAGGCAGTTGGACACTGCTTTTGAGGGATCCGTGTATTAATGAAGAATCAGGAGTAGCGTTTAAAAATTCAAGGGCTACAAGGGGCATGGAGTGTTACGACAGCTCTTCCCGCCAGCCTGGCTCCAGTGCTGCGTCAGCCCCAAATAACACACAGAGACCCTATTAGTTACAATGCTGTTGGCCAATATCTTATTGGCTAGCTCTGTCTTAAGTATTAACCCGTAACTACTAATACAGGTGTTTCTACAAGGTCTTATCTTACCGAGAACGCCAGACTCATGAGTCCTCTCCTTCCGGGACCTCATGGCAACTACTCTTACTTCATTTCCCAGAATCCTCCTTGTCTTCTAGTCTCACCTATCTTGCTTCCCTATTGGCCAACAATGTTTTACTCATCAACCAGTAAGAGAAACATGTGTACAGAAGACGTCCCCCATACTGGAGCTTGACGGTTTTCCTGCAAAACTGATCAAATGTTTTTCAGACACTGATGAAATGCTTTGCTTACTGTACAAGTATGTGTCTTGCAAAAGAGGAAGTCAGTGGGGGTCTGAATTCCCCATAATTCTGCTGTCTGTTTTCTTCTTTACTGACTTGTTTTCTGCTTCCTCATGAAGGGACCAGCTCCCCATTTCGGCAGCCGTAACAGCTTGTCTGACCTTGTCTTAGTCACTAGAAAGTCAGATGCCTGCTTCGTGACAAGGAGCCAATCAGAAGTTACCTGGTGGCGCTATGCTTTACGGCTCTGGGTGTACTTTATGGACAAGTGCACAGCAATGACGCACAGAGCATAGCAACCACCCTGGGAGTGCCTATGGGCCATAATAACCAATTGGCCAATCAACACAGGGCAAGCCCTCCAAGCCTGGAGGCACACCAATCCTGAGCCTGTGCGTACCCCTAGACACTCCCCTTACGCTGCCCTACAAGATCTCTATGCAGATGCTTCGAGATGTCTTTCCTAGCCATCCACCATGGCGGGTGGGGGAAAGGCCCGGGCTAAAATGGGGTTAGCTCATTAAACAATAATAAAGCCTCGTGCAGTTTGCATCAAGCTTTTGATTCCGCATGGTGATTGGGGTGACCGAGGTCCTTGGCTGAGACTCTGGAAGCCTGAGCTTCCCGAGGGTCTTACACTCACTTGAGAGGAATATAAGAAATGGTGCTGTTCCTCACTTGAGAGCTATGTAAGGAGCGGTGATCCTGATGAACTTTGTGGCGTTGGTCATCAGCCCAGGCAACCCTCCTGACCCCAGCTTTTGACTCTTTCCTTTGTCACCCCAGTCCTCCCCTTGAG